TGACCAATTTTACCATATCACATTGTTTATGAATATTGATTATGGAACTAATGGCTAACGGTTCTCTTGATTGTGATCTTAGCAGCTTATGCATACATATACCTAATCAATTGGCTAAATATTTTTCACGTTTCTTTGAATCTTTTTGATTTAACAAAAAGGGGGAGAAGTGTGTGTTTTAAGTGTGTTTTAAAATGATAAATGGGAGAAGTGTTAAAGTAAGGGGGAGTAATTTCAAAACTTGATTTCAAAATCTTAAAATTACTAAAATGTTTTGTTATATCAAAAAGGGGGAGATTATTGAAAACATTTTGATATTTCGATATAACAAATTAAGTTAAATGAATTTTAAGATTTTCCAAAATGATTTTCTAAGTATATTCGATATAATTATTCGAATATCAAAACATTACTCCAAATATTTCAAAATTCATTTTTAATCCTTACTTAAGTGTAAAATTAAGTTTTAATCTTAAAACAATTTCAAAATAATCTTTCAAAGTATTTCGAACCATTTCAAAGCCAAAAATTCCAGATTGCTCAAAGGGAACCGATTCCTCCCCCAAGGGGGTACCGATTCCCCCCCTGTGCAACGGTCGAAATATTTGAATTTTACACTTAGGGAACCGATCCCCTATGAGGGGGAACCGATTCCCCCCACGCTCCAAGCTATTTTATTAATTGTTTTCACACTTAAACGGCTATATTATCTTCATTAATTATCCCTAACGTTCAGAAGTGATTCAAGGTGTATTTAAACAAGTTCTGAAGCCCTTGATCAATAAGAAATCATAAAGAAACAAGAGAGAAAGCATCAAACACCAAGTTTGTGCAAATCAAGCCAATTTTCCTTTCAATATTCATTTTGCTTTCAAGAACACCATTTGTGCTCATTTGTAATTATCTTTGAGTGTTCTTTTCTTGTTCTAGAATTGTGCAAACATCTTACCTGGTGAGGTTTTCCTTGTAAGTTTGCAAATTTGTAATCTTCTCTTTGGGAAAAGAGTGTTCTCAAGAATTGGGGTATATTCTTGAGGGTGTTGTAAGGTTATCTCTTTGGCCTCAAAAGAAAGAACAAATTAGTGAATTTGTTGGAAAATCCTTAGTGTGGATAGCTAAGGTAGTGGACGTAGACTTTAATTGAGAAAGTCGAACCACTCTAAATCGTTGTGCAATTACTTTCAATTTTCTGCAAAAGCTTCCACCAAATTTTTAAATGCCAATTCACCCCCCTCTTGGCTAAATCCGTCAATCGATTAACTCAACAAGTTTCCCACCCAAGAGTCACCTTAGGTCCATAAGAAATTACCAGCTCGATCGGTCTGAACCTATATAAGGAATTACTAGTTTGATTGAAGCTGAACCTGCAGAGACTTCATACTAAATCCCATAGTACCCCGAAGAAAAACATTTTTCAGACAGTAACCAGTGGTAGCAGGAAATCAGAGTTCATACATATTTATTTATCAATAAAAATAGTAACCAAATAACATGAATAAGATAATCAAGCTTAAATCATTGTAAATAAGAAATTAGACTTTAAATCAGATAAATCATACGGAAACAAGTCACATTGAAAATCAGATAAAACAGTCATGTGCACATAATATTTCAAACATATATTTAAAACAAATATATGACACATAAGGAACACACCTCACAAAAAGAATCAGTCATGTAGATCTATTGAGCACTGGCTTCACTACGCTATTCAGTAGTATGAGAACCTAGGTCATAACAGTACAGAGTTATTATCAGATTAGTATACTAAACTGAATATTTTAACAGGGTTATAAAACTATATGAGTACTCATGGGCTCTTGCGGATGAGTGAATTGGGAGGAACCGGATTGAGTAGTCGAACGGTCAAAATATCCACGAATACCTTAAATATACCATAACATTAATTAGTCATTGACCCTTCAGTTAAATTAGGTGCACTAAAATAAATACTTAATTTACATTGCACGCTCGGGTTTAACAATTAATTCATAGGCTTTAGGGTTTCAAATTTGGCGAAACATACTTCAGATTCGAACTCAAGACGTCGAAAAACATAAAAAATGACTTTTCGAAAATTTTGACTTTTTTTTGTCAAAATCAACGGTAAAAGTCAATGGTTAACTCTGATTAAAGTCAACGATCATGTCAACAGTCAATCAAGGTCAACAAGTTGACTCTGCCCGAGTTGACTCAACGAGTTGACTGGTTCGGGTTGACTCAGGCCGGTTCCGGTTGACTTGGTTTAGTCCGAGTTGACTCGGACCAGTTTAACTAGTTCAGGCTCGTTCGGTCCACTTGGACTGTTCTAGAAGAATTAAGGCTGTGGAAGAGCCACACACGCACATGACGATGCATGACAGTGGTGACATGCTCAAGGTGATCGGTCGACTACTCCACGATCAACCAAACATCAACTCCAAGCAACATCAATACTCAAAACCAACTAAATCTATCGGAAACAAATGAATAAGGTCGAAACGCTTACCCACGCCGACGACGGGGAAATGGTGGTGATGACTTGACCCATCAGTCAGGTTTTGAGCGCACGGAGGGGGAGTCCAGTGGTGCAAGCGGTGAAGCGAGGGGATAAATGAGGAAACTGGAAAATGTGATAACTCGAGGCGACGAGAGGGGGTTTCTAGCGGTGATTCAAATGATGATTCACGTCGATTGACACCAAATCATGATACAGTGGTGCTTGGGCTTTGGTCGCCAGTCTACGGTGAGTCAACTGAAGGTGGCGGTGTGCTCCAAAGGTGGTCGGACAATGCTGATTCAATGGAGGGGTAGACTTTGGGGGTTAAGGTAAAATTGGGAATTGAAATTTTCATGGAGAGTTGGGGTTTTGGGGTATTATAACCCGTTCCTAACATATAAAAATATATATTTAATAATAATAATCTTAAACAGTGCCCTAACCTAAATGGCTAAGGCACAGTCATCCATTCTAGGTGCAGGGGTTTAAACCCCTGCAACCTAACACATATTTTTTTTATTTATTTATTTTTCCACTGGCAAACAAATATGATAATTATGGGACTGGTCCCTAAACTCTCTACATATTCAAAAGTGAACCAAAAACTTTAACATTATTCATTTTGGTCATTTAATTAATTTAATTATATTTAAAAAATTAAAATTGGGGTGTGACAGTTTTCTGGGCACTGGATTGATATTTTGAAAAGGTTTGTTTCCACGGTATCTTATTCCATTATTTTTAATGAAATTATCTGGAGTAGATTTGTTCCAAAATAAAAGGGCTTCATCAAGGTGATGCCTTAAGCCCTTACTTTTTTCTTGATTTGTAGCGAGGGTCTCTTAGTATTAATCCGGAGATCAATTGAATTAGGATAGCTTCAAGGAGTAAAGGTAAATAGGTACGCCCTGACGATCACTCATATTTTATTTGCAAACGATAGTCTCATCTTTGGTGAAACAACCCCTCAAATGGCTCAATGGATTAAGCATATTTTGTCCATGTATGGAAATATCTCTGGTCAACAAATTAATTTTGACAAATCCAGTCTTTTCTTCAAATCTAATGTCATTGATGCAAATCGAAATGACGTCAGACTCGTGCTAGACGTTTCATCTTTTTTAAATCTTGAGAAATATTTGGGGTTCCAGCTACAGTGGGTGTGACAAAAGGGGGCTTTTATGGGTTTAAAAGACAAGATTAGAAGCCAAATTCAAAACTGGTGTATAAGTATGTTGTCTCAGGGAGGAAAAGAGGTTTTCATCAAGTCCGTTCTCCAAGCCATTCCTATTTTTGCAACAAACTATTTTCTCTTGCCAAAAATGTTGTGTAGGGAACTTGACAGTATTATGAGTCGATTTTGGTGGAAAAAATCTAAACACAAACGAGGAATCCATTGGTGCTCTTGGGAATTCTTAAGTAGACTGAAAGATAGAGATGGTTTGGGGTTTAGGGATATACCAAAATTTAATGTTGTTATGTTGGCCAAACAAGGGCGGAGATTGTTCATGAACCCCTTATCGTTAGCAAGTCGGCTACTTCGGGGAAAATATTACCATTTGGGGGATTTCCTCAATGCAAGGTTAGGTTCCTCGTCTTCCTACGTTTAGAGAAGCACATGGAGTGCTCGTGGACTATTGGAAAAGGGGCTTCGATGGAAAGTGGGTAACAGTCGCTCTATATCAGTTTGGAATAACTATTGGTTGCCAGCTGAAAGATAATGTAAAGTTGAATCCTCTCAATTTGATGGGGTGGAATGAGTTTCAGGTTTAATTGAAGAGGAATCGAGGACTTGGAAAGTGGATTTGGTTCATCAAATTTTTATTGAGAAAGAAGTGGACCAAATAATGGGGATTCCTATTAGCCAATTTTATCAGAATGATGTTCAAATTTGGAGAGGAGAAAAAACATGCTTATTCAGCTTAGGAGCACCTATCGATTGTTGTTGGAAACTGATAACTCTACTCTAGTGGACGGAGAGGTGTTGAAAACTGTATGGGCTTGTGAGTGCCAACACTAAGTAAATTTGTAGATTTGGAAATTTATTTTTAATTTTATACCTACGAATTACAATCTGTATCAACAAAGGATCTCAAATAATCAATGTTGCCCAAAATGTCCATTAATCATCGAGACCGGTGTTCTTGTGGTAAGAGATTGTTTATTAACTAAACAAGTATGGCAATCCTTGGGTTACGTTTGGATTTTGTTGAATGGTTATAGTGGTTATTCCATCACAATCATACATAAAAACATGCAGAGGTAATAGTAACCATTTGTTTGTTATGGTATGCTCGAAATAGTTTTTTGCATCAAGGTATATTAACTAGAAGCAAGGAGTTATTTACCTCTATTCGAGCTCAATGTGCAGACTACTCCACAATAAATGCTCGTCTTCAAGCCACAACCTCACAGGTTGTTGTTCGTTGGAAACCGTCCTCACATCCCGAAGTAAAGGTGAATTTCGACGTTGATTTTGGGTGCTCATTGGAAATCTAGTAAGAATGTAAACTCATCGTTCATGGATGAGGCGTTAGCGGTGAAGCACGCGGTGGAATTTACAGCAAACATGGGTTTTCATAGAATCATTCTCGAAGGTGATTCTCGAACAGTCATGAATAAACTACAATCCGGACAACCAGATTATTCTGAAACCAACACTTGGATAGGGGATACAAATATGAAAGCAACTTCTTTTCATACCTCCATGTATCAGTTTACTCCCAGATCAGGGAATTTGGTCGCTCATCTGTTGGCAGCGGACAAAACGTTGGGTGAAGAAGATAGATACTGGGTGGAAGATGGACCGGTGTGTTGAGAACCAAGCGGCGGAGGAACGACATTGGATTGATCCTCCATAGTAGCATAGCTTGAGGTTGGAGTCGCTACAAGGGTCAATTTTGTTTTTTCAGTTCCTTTCTGTGATTCATTCGTGAAACGTATTCATCCTAAGATTGTAGAGGAAGGAAGGTCATCCATCGTTTTTCTTGTTTTGTTCCTTTAGTGTTTTTAGCTCTTTTGTTTGCCTATTTTCATTTATTGTCGTACATGTTGTCATCCATTACTACTTTTTGAACCTTTTGTTTTGCTTTTTTTAATTTGTTTTTATTATTAATAAAATGCTCGCATTCCATGGTTCAAATATATATATATATACATTCGCACACAATAAAAACATAAAAGTTTACATAAAAATATAAAAACAATTCAACATAATAATTAATTATTTTTAGTCATATATATATGTGTGTTATTATGCATATAATATTCATGCTGTCAAATGTTTTACTGGAAAAAAATTCTTTAATATAAAGAAACAACTACTCATTTTTTAAATAAATTGATTAAATTAAGTTTATCAAACTAGATTAAATATTTAACTTTTTAAATTTTAAAATTAAATTCATGATGTATTAGACCTTATTACGAAGGATGTTCAAGGCTCTCCCTACTTAAGAATTAAGATTATGATATAATTGTGTTTCGATTTTAATTAAAAAAACTAATAAATTCGTTACACATATCTTAACAAATCGTCAATAAACTAATAATAAATTTACCATCCATTAAAAATAAAAATATATAAAGTTATTCTCAAATCTTTAAATTTTAAGGATATAAATTTAAAAAATCATTATATGAAGTATTAATGTGTTAGGAATTATATAAATTTTAACAAATATATGAAATGTTTTTTTTCTTTATTATTTCTACATAGAAATTTTTTTTGGCTTCTGTATTTGTTCATCTTATTATACGTTTGGTAGTTGATTAACTTAAAAATTTGTTTACATTTTTTTATTTTCTCTTTTTCAAATGAAAAAGGTGATAATTAGGGGTGCTTATCAAGTGAGTCGATCAAGAGTTGAATAGTGATCGACTCATATTTTTAAAAAAAATTATTGCTCGACTTGACTTATTGCTCATTAAGCTCGATAAAATTTTACTCGACACATGTTTATTAAAAAAAACTTGTTACTCGACTAGTTGCTCGTTGAGCTCTCCAAAATTTTTACCTTGTTTTTAACTATGTAAAATCTAATGAATTAATAATTTAATATTTTCTTGTTATTTATTAAAAAATAAGTAGTAATTTTCTTATTATCTATTAACAAATTAGTAACTAGACTTTCTTTTTTGATTGAAATAATTTTTCAAGGTATACTAAAATTTTATATAAAAAAATTAATGAACTTCTTGTAAACTTGCTGAATCCAATTAAATCTTACTCAACAGTCAAATTCCTCAAGAAATCGGTCGTTTAAGAAGATTGGAGGTATTAAGACTGACCAACAACTCCATTAGTGGTGAAATTCCTGGTAATTTATCTGCTTGTTCTAAGCTTATATTTGTCAACATGAGAGGCAACCAGCTAAGAGGAGAAATCCTGCTTCCCTGGGTTTCTCGTCAAACCTGAAAGGCTGAAACTGATGAGTTTTAGCAACAACAGTTTTAGAGGGAGTATCCCACCTTCTTTCGGGAGCTTGTCATCCCTGCAGGAGCTCACTTTGTCGATTAACGATTTGACTGGGATCCTACCCGAAGCTCTTGGACGACTAACAATTCTTTCATGTCTCACGGTAGGATCAAATGCAATTTCTAGAGTTCTTCCTATTTCAATGTTCAATCTCTCCAACCTCGGTGTATTTGATATTACTGAGAACATGATTCAAGGCACTCTTTCTTCTTGCATAGAAATTAATATGCCATATGTTGAGTTCTTTTCTGTAGGAGGAAATCAAATATCTGGGCAAATCCCGATTTCAATATCTAAAGCTACAAATCTGAATGCACTTCAATTTGCGGGAAACATGCTCAATGGGAATGTTCCATCATTAGAAAAGCTAGATGAACTGTTCAGATTAGCCTTGTTCCAAAACCATTTGGGATACGGGAAAGATGGTGACTTGGACTTCCTCTGCACTTTGGTCAACAATACCATAGATTTCACGATCGTTGCATCCACAAGTGGTTGAAAGAAAGTCCTTACTGTCCTCTTTGCCGATTTGAGATACCAATTTAGACAAAGTTTTATTTGTTTCTTATTCATCAAGATGGATATGTTGTAATTCCCAAAACCCCTATAAATGAATTTTTCTTTTATGATTTGGTTTTGGTTCTTTTATCACTAAAATTATCCACTGTCATTGTATCAAGGGATGGTTGAAAGAAAGTCAAACTATTTTCCAATTTACAAACACCAATACACACCTGCAAAATACTAATGAACTTAGGAATAATGAACCAAAGTGTGTCCATGGATACCTGAGAAACACAAATCCCTCAATTCCTTTGATATTATGTTACCATGGCTACCTGCAAAATTTGCTGTACCAAAGTCCATGTAATTATTTTTTTTTAAAGAATAATGCAAGTTGTTTACTTCAGCATAAGAAGACTTTATTATATCCCTGCTTATTGAGCAGCACATGAAGTTCAGCAGGAAGCTTGTCTCTAATAGAACAAAGCTTGGAAACAACATCACTCATATCCATCCTCTCCCTTAGTGAATCAGCAGAACAAATAAGTCCTATTTCAAATTTCGAATTCAAACACTGAAGTTGTATGTCATTTCCGATGTTGTTTCCATTGAGAGTGATTCCTACAAGTGTTTCGTCTCTAAGTATCTCTTGAAGAAGAATGGGATCTACAATCTCAATCACTTTATGGGGAATAGCTGCCTTAACAAAGTTATGAAGACTTAAACCTTATTTGAACCTTTAATCAGTTGGCCTTATCCCCGTAACCATCTCTAGCAAGAGGACGCCATAGCTATACACATCGCCTCTTGTCAACAACTTGCTTCCCATGCCATATTCTACCATTAATTCATCACAAATTATGCAAACAAATTGCAAAGGAAAATCCTCTAAATATATGAAAATTCTGTTATTTTAAATAGCAGGGTAAATGAATGAAGTGAACTTACCTGGTGGAGCATAACCAGTTGTTTCGCTCAATCCAATTGATCTTGATTGATTAGTAGAGTTGAATACGTCTGCAGAAAGGATTTTTGATAAACCAAAGTCACTTATATGGCCAATCATTTCCTTATCGAGTAAAATATCGATGTCTCAACCATTGTGCAGATAATCCAGTACATGAGCAACATCAATGGCCAAATTAACTCTTTGGAGGAAGCTCATCTTGCTCGTCGTCTCTGATTCATTCATGTCAATAGATGGATGTAACCAATTCTCCAAGCTTCCATTTTCCATGAACTCATAAACCAAAGCTTTAAAATCATTGCCTTCGTAATCGACACTTGAAACCGATGTCAATACCTTGACAAGGTTTCGATCGACCTCACATTCAACCAAGAAACTCCTCGAAGCTCCATAATTCAGAAGATCAAGCACTTTTATTGCAACAGTTGGTCCACCCCCTCTAAGAATTCCTTTGTATACAGAACCAAAGCTTCCTGAACCTAGAAAATTCTGCATAGAGAAACAATCTGTAGCCCTTAAGATGCTATGGTACGATAAGTGTAAAAGCGAATTTTCTGCATTGATGGTTGTTGGCATGGGCTCTTTCTTTTTTCTAAACCACAGGATGAGGAGACAAGTGAAAATCAAAGTCACCCTAAAATCACAACAATAATTGCAATTCTAAGGGAAGTGTTTGATCTTCTAACTGACGTTTTTGAGTTACATTTGGACAAGTTTAACTCTCGGTTGCCTCCACAAAGATTATTGTTTCCTTCAACAAATATAGCACTTGCATTCTTAAAGACCCCTTCACTTGGTATCACTCCCTCGAAATTATTGAAAGAAATATTTAAATAGTTTAATACTCTAAAGTTCACAAGAAATTCTGGAATCCCACCTGAAAGATTATTGGCAGATACTTCTAATGCCGTATGACCCATTAATCAACTAAAAGATGAAGGAATGGGACCTTCAAACAAATTTCCATCCAAAATCAGGTACTCAAGGCTTACACAGCTTCCAAGGCTGCTTGGGAGCAGACCAAATAACCTATTTTGAGAAACATCCAATTTATCTAGATTTTTCAGTTTTTCTTCTTCAACAAGTTCACCAGTCATATAGTTTGATGACAAGTCTAGTACAATGGACAAGGATGAGAGTCCAAGTACTTCATGAGGTACTGATCCACTATGATTGTTACGATCAAGTCTTAGTCGGATCAAATGTTGACAGTTACTTAGACTTGAAGGAATATTCCCTTGAAGATTATTAAACTCTAAAGCAAGTTCAATCAACATTGTTAAATTTCCAATAGAATGGAGAATAGTCCCAGAGAGAAAATTACCACCAGTGGAAAATAACTTGAGCTTATGAAGCCTTCCAATGTCAAAGGGAATAGAACCTGATAGTTGATTTCGTGATACCCCCAGAGCCTCCTAGTTGATGAGATTTCCAATTCTATTCGGTATTCCTCCCATATTTTGTTCTGATCCGTTGATAAATGAAAAATGGAGGTAGAAAAATTGCTAATGCATTCAGGAAACAGCCCTCCAAAATTATTTTGGGCTATAGACAGAGTTCCTAGTATGGTATTGTTGACCAAAGTGCAGAGGAAGTCAAAGTCACCATCTTTCCCGTATCCCAAATGGTTTTGGAACAAGGCTAATCTGAACAGTTTATCTAGATTTTCTAATGATGGAACATTCCCGCTGAGCATGTTTCCCGCTAATTGAAGTGCATTCAGATTTGTAGCATTAGATATTGAAATCGGGATTTGCCCAGATATTTGATTTCCTCCTACTGAAAAGAACTCAACATATGGCATGCTAATTTCTATGCGAGAAGAAAGAGTGCCTTGAATCTTGTTCTCAGTAATATCAAATACTCCAAGGTTGGAGAGATTGAACATTGAAATAGGAAGAACACTAGAAATTGCATTTGATCCTACCGTGAGATAGGAAAGATTTGTTAGTCGTCCAAGAGCTTCGGGTAGGATCCCAGTCAACTCGTTAATCGACAAAGTGAGCTCCTGCAGGGATGACAAGTTCCCAAAGGAGGTGGGATACTCCCTCTCAAACTGTTGTTGCTAAAACTCATCAGTTTCAGGTTTGACAAGAAACCCAGGGAAGCACGTATTTCTCCTCTTAGCTGGTTGCCTCTCATGTTGACAAATATAAGCTTTGAACAAGCAGATAAATTACCAGGAATTTCACCACTAATGGAGTTGTTGGTCAGTCTTAATACCTCCAATCTTCTTAAACGACCGACTTCTTGAGGAATTTGACTGTAGAAGCTATTCCCCGTGAGATTCAACTATCTGAGAAAGCTCAAATTTCCAATGGACGGGGATATAGACCCCGAGAGTTTGAGGCATTGCAGTTCTATTTTTGTGACTCTCTGATGCTCACGGCCACCGCATGTAACGCCACGCCACTGGCAGAAATGAATGGAAGTACTCCAGGAGTCCATAATTTTGAGCGGATCACCAGTTATCTTGGATTTGAAGTGTAGCAAGGCTTGTTGATCAGTGTCGTTTCCTCTTACTACATGGCTTGCTGTTGCTAAACCCAGCAAGTTGAAGCATGAGAGAAGAATTAAAACCAGCAAAAAGGAGTTCATATGCTTTGTCGGCAGCTCCATCAGTCTGAACTTTTTTGTTGGTAATTTCCTCTGGAAAACAAATACTTCTGCTCTGTCTCCTGTCAACTAATTTAATGTTTTTCAACTTTGGGTTGGACTTTCTTGTTTGACTTTAATCTCCATAAATTTTTTCAAGATGCTTGAAAATAACATCAATCGATATCAAACGTAATGGATACCGAAGTCGTACACGTTTTCAGATTTGATGTTTGTTTCTTGTTCGTGGGTTACAATCCCTTGGATGAATGCCATTTGTCGAGCTTCTTAAAATTCATTCCTCTCCAATTGAAGTATAATATCTGTTGAAATAATAGGATAAAAAAATTGAAATAACACAACAATTTTAACGAGGTTCAATAATGTATTTACGTTATCGGTGTCTTAGGAAGCGTTAGTTTTTCATTTAATATCTTATAGGTTTAGGTTATTATCTCTTTTTATAATAAATAAACTCTGATACATATTTATAAAAATAATTCTGTACCATACCGCAAGGCTAAGTTTATGAGTCATACCTAACGATATCTTCTCTTAGAATACTAATTACTTTGTTTATTAATTATCGGTTGATATAGTAAGACGATACACTAGATTTTTTAAGTAAAATTTGAGATTCGAACTTCGACGTTTGTGAATGAATCATATTAAGTTAGGATAAGGGATGGACCTAGGTGGGAGCAGTCGTCCCATAAAAAAATCTAAAATTATCATATATTTTAGATTTTTCTATGTATTTTCTCACAAATTTTATAAGTAAAACTCTCAACTTAAAAAATATATATCAATGAAATGTTTGACCGTTGATATATAAATTACTTGATCCCTACGCATACTTCTATCGAGTTATATAGACACCGCACGATTAATTTAACCTAGCAAAAAGAAAAACTTCCTACTCAAGTTTAATCTCTTCCATGGCTTCCTTCTCCCATCTGCCTGATGGCATACACCTTATTGACCTTTACCAACCCCATAGTATACCAGAAAGGCATCTCATTCGTCATTCGGTTCAATTTGAAGTAACCATCACCTTCGATAATGTAATCTGTCTTCACGACTGTTTACACCATCGGTTTACTGAAAATTTGATTCACTTCCCTCCACAAACTCTTCGGTTCAATATCCGTATCTTGGAACAAGAAACAGGGCCGCGAGATCATTGCCGACATGTTGAGGAGATTTCCAGTCCACCCAACATCTCTTGAATTTGGCATGGTCGTTGATAACATTATCCATCAGGCACTCAGAATCGGAAACTCTGATTCCAACATGGGACGTCAGGTACTGCCTTTGAGCGTGTATATTATCAACAAAGTTACTCAAAACATCCGGGAAAGGGATTCGCTAAGGAGAGCTTTGGCGGAATCGGCATTATCGGGAAGCAACGGCATGGTTCCGGCGAATGAATCCTCAGCCAAGAAGATGTTGAAAAGGGTTCGAGTCGAAGACGAAGATGAATACGAAGGAAGCAGGAAAAAGAGGAGAGTGAAGGGCGAAGACTGCGTCATATGTCTCGAGGAAATCGAGGTCGGTTCAACAGCTTCTCGGATGCCTTGCTCTCATACTTTTCACGATCACTGCATCGAGAAGTGGCCGAAAGAAAGTTATTACTGTCCTCTCTGCAGATTTGAGATGCCAACTTAGACAAAGATTGGGTTTGTTGGGTGTTAATTTTTTTGGCGTGGACCTTGTTGCAACACATTTTCTGTATTTTCTTGTAGAATGTCCTATTTTTCCTCCATTTAGGTTTAGGGAGATTTTTAACGAGACATTCTACTTTGACTATGGTTTTATGATTAGGTTAATAAAAATCATATTTACCGAGCAAAAAAATATCATCAAGATGGAAATGTTGACCCTGTGAATGAATTTATTAATGTTTTCTATGATTTGGTTTTAGTTCTCGTTTCTTTGGCCGTTGGTTTTTATCCGTGAAAAGAGCATTTCATAGATTAAGAGACCGTAATTCATAAACACAAGGATAGAGGAGATAGAATGGAAGAAGGTTAAAGATTAATTATATGCATCATTGAAAACAAGGTGCAAATACACTAATGACAACACCTCACTACAACAAAAGGTGCTTTCTTATATGAAATACAAGATTGCATTAAAAAATGCACGCTAAAAAATTTATCATAAGCAATAAGAAAATATATGAATACAATCGAGGAAATTTACAAGATGGATTCAATGTACTCGTGGGGATCGCCTGTTGTGAGATGGTAATGGAGATGCATTGGGTGTCAGATGCATAGGTGAGCGATGCGGTCGTTTTGGGGATTTCCGAACAGGAAGTGGAACTGGGTGCTGCTCCGGCTGAAAGTGTTTCAAAGCAGTTTTGGGGGCTTCTAGTTGCTCCAGTGCCGCCAAAACTTCTGACATTCGAGGCCTGAGTTTAGCTTCGCTATTTAGGCACTGTAAAGCAAGGCTAGCTGCGGTATAGGCGCCTTTCTGAGGGTACTGGCCACCCAACCTAGTGTCCATGATTCGAAATAGTTTTCTTTTGTCACCCAGATATGGTTTTGCCCAGTCTACTAGACTCTGCTCCACGCCAACTTTTGTTTTATCAACAGCTCGCCGTCCAGACAATAGTTCGAGTAAAACAACTCCAAAGCTATATACATCACTCTTAGCCGTCAACCGACCTGTTCGACAATGAAAACTTAGTAACCTGTAACTTCCGACAACATATTACATTCGAGTGCCTTCAGACAAACATTTTGCACAATGAAGATTAAACCCAGAAAATAGTTGCTTTGTGCAAATATCCTACATTTGGAACAAAGACATTGCATATAAAACACAAAACAGACTATATTACGCTTTCATGGCAAGTTGGCAACTACCTGGTACATTTTCCCCTCTAACAAAGATGAAATATTGAAACCCGAGGGCTTAAGAAAGAACGAGGAAAGGAAGAAAGTCATGAGAACTAGTCGCGAATGAATTTTCAAGCTCAGCACAACAAGTTGCCAGATCAGTGGTTTGAAGTTTTCATTCTTAATGAACAAAATAGGTACCTTCAAGGTTTATTATAAAAGGCTCGTACCTGTAGCAACGTATTCAGGTGCTGCATAGCCTTGAGTACCCATAACCTGAGTCGATACATGAGTCCTATCACCAGTAGGCCCTGCCTTGGCCAATCCAAAGTCCGAAAGTTTTGCATTGAATTCCTGCAACCAATAGATTATAATGTCAGCAATATATAAAATTTTAAATGCAAACAATTTAGACAAAAAACTGAAAATGCATAAAATTATTATTTTTCTTTATTCAGCATACCGCATCTAGCAGAATGTTTGAAGCTTTAAAATCACGGTATATGACTTGCGATTTCAAATCGTGAAGAAAAGAGAGCCCTCTTGCAGCACCTATGGAAACTTTAAGCCTCACCGCCCAAGATAGTGGCTGTGACCCTCCTGCATAACAAGACATAGCATCAAAAGTTAAAAAATAGAAACTTCATAGTTCCAATACATACACACATATTTATTTATACGCTCCATTGTTCAGTTGTTTAAGACGCAATAGTGTGTGGTGAGCAACCCTTTTTCAGGCTCGTGAGTCGTGAATATTTCTAAATTCTATCCGTAGCTTTATACCTTCAGAACACGCATGCTGTTAAAGTGAAAACGAAACAGAATATTTCTAAATTCTAAATCTCCTTGAAACTAAAATATTAAAAAAAGAAAAAGTTATGAATTCCCTTTTTAAGTTTTCATAGCGACCAGTTGAGGGTGAGGACTGTTTCCGGAGAACAATAACATAATGCAACAAAATTGGATTCCAAATTTCCTTATCAGTACATGGACATAATACTCTCAAAAAATGGTTCTCTGAAAAAAAAATCAAAGCTTGTGATACTTACTTCTAAAAAGATGATTCTCTAAGCTTCCTTTAGGCATGAACTCGTAGACCAAAAGACGGTTCTCACTCTCTGAACAATATCCAATCATCTTAACTAGATTTGGGTGATGTAGTTGCCCGAGATAATCAACTTCAGTCTGAAACCAACAATGTATCAACAAATAGGGCACAAGGACAAACATAAACTGAGAGAAGAAAAGCAGGAGGAATTAAAAATGATAAAGACGAAACACACCAGCCACTCTTTGTGGCCTTGGAAACCTTCGGGTTTAAGCTTCTTGACAGCAATAACCATTCCTGAGCCAGGTCTAGCAGCAGCTAATGTGTGTTCATCAATCCATCCTTTAAAGACATACCCAAAGCCACCTTCACCAAGAAGACCGTCGGGGCGAAAGTTTCTGGTGGCATTCTTCAACTCATTGAACGAGAAAGGTTTCAAATTGGGGGATGCCAATATTTCTCCTTCGGTTCTTGGCGTTGGAAGACATCCGTTACTACTACTTGTGTCACTGAAAGATGGGATGGTCAAGCTCGAACGAGTGGTTTTGCTAGAAACTCTAGAGCATCCTGATGCTGAAAGAGAAAAAAAACTTCTTAAGGTGATTAAATACCTCACCTCAGGGCTTAGGTATAAATTTGCATTTCCAGGCAAACACCAATTGTTCCTATGTCTACCACTTCGCCTTTCCTTCAAAAACATAAATCAGTATATCCTTTTGTTTCCCACAAGAACGCTGCATATTCATGTATATATGAGCAAACCAAAGATTACGACCGAGAAAGATTCCACTCGAGCTCCTACTTTCTTCAAGTTTTGCAAATTGAAACTCAATTTGATTGGAAAAATTGCACTATCAAAAATCAAATAATAGTTTCAAGTGATCTAGATTTATTCCTACCACAATCCCTCACACTCAAGAAATTGAAGAAATCTCGAGAACCACACATTGAACCAGAACTGAAAACAAGGGTTATCAATACAAGAAAATCATATTCAACATAAAAGTTCAAAACTTTAAGCTAAAAGGCCTTTAAGAAAACTTGAGAAAAATAATAATTCACCAAGACAACAAATACCCATGAATAGAAAAAGAAATGATTACCAGAAGTAGCTTGGGGGCTTTGGCTGGAATCGATTCTAGTTGAAGAAAACAAGCAGTTGCCCATCAGAGAGAAACGAACACTTGAAAAGAAATAGAAAACACTTTTTCTTCTTCTTTTTTCTCTTCTAAAAGAGCTCAAAGTTTTACATTTCAACAAGCAAAGGTAATTTCTGGGATCCTTAAAAGAAGGAAACTAAAAAACGGCTCTATTGGGATTGGGAATTTGTTTCTCTTACATGGAACTTTTGGGTTGGTTTGATCGGTCAGGCTAGACACTTGAGGAGCTAAATTCTTAGCAGTAACTAAGGATGAAATAGAGAAATAGAGAAATAGAGAAACAGAGAGGAAAGTTAAGAGAAGAAACTAAAGTTTGGGTCCTGGGCGAGACAAAACAAACGATAGAGACGGCAAATGCATGGGAAGTGTCAAGAGCGGTAAAACTTGGCGTTTCTATGACGTATGCACACACCAACTCCTTTAGCTTGGTTTTGGTGGCAAGCATCAACTCTGTTATTTTTCTTTTTTATTCGGAGAACTCTCTTCTTCAATGCCCTTAATCTTCCGTTGGGTAAACTAACTGATTAACGAGGACTTAAAGAAAAGAATATCAACGTGGTATTTTGATCAATTTCATCGTTGACCATTATGATATTAACGTAATATTTTATAGTATTAATGCAATAATTTACGATATTAATGTAATGATCTACAATGTTGGTGATATGATATATAAATTAATTTATTTTTTAATCGAGTTCAAGGACCAAATTGATATTTTTGAAAGTACATACACTTCTTTGATTTTCTTAAATAATTATTTAAAATATACAAAAAGGAAAAATATAAAAATACTAAAAATAAAAATTAAATTACTACAAAATTAATATATATATATATTTTGAGTGATTGAAAATATTATTGTTAAAGATCCACTAAATTTAGAGACAATATATGCAAGCAGAAATCCGACGGCGGCCTTGGCCTGAAAAATCTAAAAGAGTGGAACCGAGCATGTATGATCAAACTCATACAGAATATCCTTGCAAATGAGAGGTCTTTATGGGTAGCATGGATTAATGCTTATGTTCTAAAGGGCGAGGACTTTTGGCAAATGGAAGCAGGTTCAACAATGAGCTGGGGCATCAACAAATTGCTTAAGCTAAGAACTGAAGCCCACCCAATCCTTCAAAATGGTACACCACCGATAAGGTTAATTTGGCAAGAGATTATAACTAAGGGGGATAAAGTTCCTTGACAATCTCTAATTTGGTTCCCTCTGAACATTCCAAAGCATAGTATGATAACTTGGATGGCACTGATCGATAGGTTGCCTACTCGAGATCGCCTTCAACACATAGGCATTGTTTCTAATGGAAGCTGCATTTTATGTAATGAGACGTTGGAAACCCGAAACCACCTGTTCTTCGACTGCAAGATTGCCTCTCAATTACGAGAGCATATTTTTCACCCTAATATAATTCACAAGTATGTCCTATCTTGGGAGAACATGATTACTTGGGCAAGCAAAACTTGGAAAGGTAAATCTCTTCTGGTCATTATTCTCAAACTTGCTTGGAACGCCACGATCTACGTTTTATGGGAGGAACGCAACCGAAGAATCTTCAAAGATGCTCTCGAAGCATTGAAGAAATACTTAGCACCATCAAAGATCTTGTTCGTATTAAACTTAGGGGTAAAAATATTAATAGGCTTGATTATGTAAACTACAGTCTTTGTATTGCCTAGGGTATTGACTAATTCCGATCGCTCTTTTTTATTTTTAGTCTGATTTTTCTTTCTATTTCCTGTGATCGGTGATTTTTTGTAGCAAACATTGCTCTTGGATAATAAAAATTCAACTTATCCAAAAAAAAATTTAGAGAAATTTTAATGTTAGTATTATTTTATTTAGTAATATAATTATTTGTTATGTGAGCTTTATTTTATTTTTATTTTATAAAGACGAATTTATTATTCATTGAAAAATTAAATATTAAATATTAAATATTAAGGGTAACCCGACCCAACCCAACCCGACCTATATCTATCCTTTATCCATCCCCAACGATGGATAAGTCTTTGAAACAAAACAAAGTCAAACATAAAATATTATATATGGTCGTCAAAAATACTTAAAAATTTCAAACATAAATTATTTAATAAATATAAAATTAATAACTAAAATAACATATTCCAAATATTCTATTGGTTGCACATCTAGGGGTGTGCAAAAAAATCCGATCCGATCAATCCGATCCGTTGATCCGATCCGAAAATTCGGATATCCGATCCGTTTTTCAATTTTCGAATAGTTCTGAAAATTTTTTCGGATTTTCGGATCGGATACGGATCGAGCAAAATCCAGTTTCGGATTATCCGAAAATCTGAAAAAAAAATTAGGCTATATTATTAGTCCAGAGCTGTTTGGGCTAGTCAAACCTTGTTCTGCCTGTGCCATTTCCTTTTTTTTACTTCTCGCCCGAAATTTCGCTTGATTGTTTCAAATCCTCATTTCATTTCTCTGTTTTTCATCGTCCCCTACTCCTGATTATTTCTCTTACATTCTTACGTGACTTTGGCGCCCTTCAAAGCATTTCACCTAATCCTGTAGCTATAGGCAAGCCAACTACCTTCACCATCTCAGCTTCTACCGGTAAACTTTCCCTTCTTTCAATTTTTCTAATGGTTCTTGCTTTGAGTTTGATTTCATGTTTGATGGTTAATATTTAATTATGAAAAAGAAGAGGGTAGGGTGTTGAACTTTAGAAATCAACGAAATCACTTCATATTTTTTAGGGATTCAATCCTGTTGAACTTTAGATGCCGAATCTTTTTCAGATTAAGTAAAACATGAATAGTTAGTATTGTATCAAGCCAAGCATCAGAGATTTCTATAATATGAGTCTAAGGATTGTATGTTTGTGGAATATGAGTTGCTTTATGGGAGAAACATAATTACTTTACTGGTTTGGATCTCCAGTATGTAGGAACCTTCTTTAGGGTGGTACAAAACTATCCTAAACATAGGCCGAATCTCGGGGAGGTTAAACACGAAGTTTAATTAAGAATCAACCTTCAACCCTCCATATGAACTGTACCGGCATGACCGTAAAACCCCTAAAATGTTCTCTGGCAGTTGAGAGTACCAGCATGACCCTAGACCCGTATCATGAAAGCTAATTCTTCTCAGTGTTCCTTTTGATTTAGAACCTTACATCGGTATCTGATTTCTTAGGCAAATATATTTCAAATCTTGGTGGATATGCTCTTGGTTGCAAAGTTAAATCCAAATTGCTAGACTGGTGCTGTGTTTTGATGGAAAAACTTTGAAATTTTTAAGTACTTAGTGATCCTATCTCTTTTTTTATGTTATTAAGACTTAATACTCTTGTGTGGTATTTTATTTTGAACATCTTGTGTTGATTTGATTGTGTTGTTGAGATTTGATACTCTTGTGTGGTATTTTTAATATGAACATCTTGTGAAGTTTGGTCCTATTGTTTTTCAGATTTTACTATGTTTTATAGAAAGACTCGTTATATGCAGTCCTCAAATACGTTTGAAGTGGAGCTATTTAATTTCATGGTTTACACAGAATGTTCCCACTCTTTTTTTTAAGTTAGTTGCAGTTGTCTTCTATTATTGTATGCCAGGTATCTAACCAGTCATTGAACAACTCGAGCATATGACCAGGACTTGATTTTGGTCATTGAATTGAAGCGACTACCCCAGAGATGGACACGACTTTTTTTAGGTTCCAAAGAAATAAGGATGGGTACAATTTTCTATTTTAGAAAGAAATAGAAACCAAAATTCCTTAAACGCTCCGATTGGGAAATTGGATTTGGATTTTATTTGCAATGTAAATGATAAAAAAATAAAATATATACATTAGAGATAAATAGTTATGATTCAATACAATATAGTAAAAACGTGGAGTGAAGTGGAGCATTAATTTTATGCTTATTAAATGTGTTATTTTAGTATAAGATTGTGAATAATAATATGATAATTTACGCATTTAGTATCTAAATTATTAATTTTAATACTTAAACTTTTAATTTTATGTTGATTAATGCTTTTATTATGTTGTATTTTAAATTTTTTGCACAAAAAAAAAATCGGATTCGGATCCGGATATTCGGATATCCGATCCGAATTTTTGGATATCTGAATTTTTTGGATCGGATACGAATCATTACTTTAGGTATCCGAAATTTTCGGATATCCGAAAATTCGGATCGGATAATATCCGATATCCGATAATGCACACCCCTATGCACATCCTTGAATATTTGTTAATGATTTTAATTAATTTTTTTTATAGATAAAGATGATATTATTTTCATTTTGACAATATAATTCTCCACACTTTTATTTACACCATTGTTGCAAATCTACCGACTTTTCTGCTACTCTGTTTTAATCATTTTAGCCTGTTTTTAATATATAAGTTATGGATTAAAACATGCTTTAAAGCCAGACTATACATTTAAAATTTAATGTTTCTTTTTATTTAAAAATTTAAGTAGAATTATTAAGATCGTTAAAATTCTTTAACAAAATACATTTTCATTACAACACTATCTTTTTTTGTTTACTATTTGATTTTTAGGTTAATATTTTTAGGGTAAATTATAGGTTTAGTACTTAAATTATTAATTTTGTTTTGGTACACAAATTTTTTTTTTCATAATCATATTTAATGTTTAGTTTATATTTCATTTTGATACCCTACCGTTTAAAATTTAATGATGATATTGACAGGTCATCGTAATGTAATGACACATCATCATTAAAAAACTTAATGATGACATTGACCGTTGCTGCTCCTCTGCTTGTTGAACAACGTCTTGCTAACGACTATATATTTTTTTTGAATTCGAAAGAATTCGTCACATCGATATGACGAATTCCATCGATTTTTTTTTATTTTATAAACATTATTTCTTAAAAAAATTAAAATTGTTTTTAATGAGCTCATCACGTCTGCGTGAAGAGTCATTATAACCCAAATTAAATAATGATCTACATGGAACCCACTACATGAGGATTATTAAAAAATAATATTGAGATCATAAGTTCCAAACAAATGTCGTAGTTTGCTAAATAAAATTAAAGTAGACTCAATACTAATTTTTTTTATCATCATAAGGTATTGGGAAAACAAACCCCCAACTAAACAAACAATGAAAAAACCATAGTACAGATAAAATAATATTAACGAAATAAATGAGTGAATCGAATTTTTTAAGTTGAATTTTAACATGTAATATGTCATGTAATTCTTTTTATTTTTTTAATTGTATGTGTAATCTTAATTTTTTTATTAAATGAAAAGATTTTTATATTTTTAAGATAAATATGAAAATTCAAACTGACGTAAATCAAGATAATATAAATATTATTCATCACTTATCAATTAATGAATTTCAAAGTCATTTTAATTTTAAATAATACTAATAATTTCAAAAAAAAAAGTGATATAAATTTATATATACAAATAATTTATCTTGAGATTACAAATATTTATTTATTAAATATAATAATAAGTACATTAGTTTTTGTAGACATCTGTATTCGTTCGGGAGTTACTTCAAAAGTTTTTATGTTTATATTTTATCGTATAGTATTTATATAATATAATGTATATAAATTTTTGAAAATATATATAATATATAATTTTAGAAAATATATGATATATAGGTTTTGAATATATATATTATTTTTTAAAATATATAATTTTTGAAAACATATATAATATATAATTTTTTATTGATAATATATATAATTTTTAAAAGCATATTATATAGTTTTTGAAAATATATAATATATATGCATTATTATTATTATTATTATTATTATTATTATTATTATTATATTATTTATTATTATTATTATTATTATTATTATTATCATCTATTTTTTTAAGATCCAATAAAGGTCAAGTTCAAGTCTAGACCAGTCTAGCATAGGAGAACCCAACAATTAAGCACGCCTGACCCAGTAGGCTGCTCTACGGGGCCCAGAGAGAGTCCAAGTTGTTGAAAACATTTTGATATTTCGATATAACAAATTAAGTTAAATGAATTTTAAGATTTTCCAAAAAGATTTTCTAAGTATATTTGATATAATTATTCGAATATCAAAATATTACTCCAAATCTTTCAAATGTCATTTTTAATCCTTACTCAAGTGTAAAATTAAGTTTTAATCTTAAAATAATTTCAAAATGATTTTACAAAATATTTCGAACCATTTCAAAGCCAAAAATTCAATATTGCTCAGAGGGAACCGATTCCCCCCAAGGGGGTACCAATTCCCCCCTGAATGGTTTGTCTCCGAGAATTCCAGTATACTCGGAGGGAACCGATTCCCCCCAGGGGGTACCGATTTCCCCCACTGCTTAACGGTCGAAATATTTGAATTTTATACTCAGGGAATCGATTCCCCCTATGGGGTACCGATTCCCCCCACGCTCCAAGCTGTTTTATTAATTGATTTCACACTAAAACGGCTATATTATCTTCATTAATGATCCCCAACATTCATAAGTGATTCAAGGTGTATTTAAGCAAGCTCAGAAGCCATTGATCAACAATAAGAAACATCAAGCAACTATAATCAAGAGAGAATCAAAGAGAAAGCATCAAACCTCAAGTTTGAGCATTTCAAGCCTATTTTTCATTCAATTTTCATTTTGCTTTCAAGAACACTTATTGTGCTCAATTGTATTCATTCTTGAGTGTTCTTTTCTTTGTTCTAGAATTGTGCAAACAATCTACCTTGTGAGGATTTCCTTGTAAGTTTGTAAATTTGTATTGTTCTCTTTGGGAGAGAGTGTTCTCAAGAATTTGGGGTATAATTCTTGAGGGTTTGTAAGGTTACTCTTTGTCCTCAAAAGAAAGACAAATTAGTGAATTTGTGGAAAATCCTTAGTGTGAATAGCTAAGGTAGTGGACGTATACTTTGGTTGAGAAAGTCGAACCACTTTAAATCGCTGTGCAATTTCTTTCAATTTTCTGCAAAAGCTTCCACCAAAATTTTATTGCCAATTCACCCCCTCTTGGCCGATTCCGTCAATCGATTAACTCAACAATTGGTATCAGAGCCTAACTCATTTGGAGGTTTAATCGCCTCTTGAGTCGATTCGGGAAGAGTTACATCGATAATCAAAGTCATTAATGGCCTCTACTTCAAACTTCGACTCCGGTCTCGATTCGATGCCCGTCAACAAGCTTTCTTTCTTCAATGGGGCTAATTATGCCTATTGGAAAAATAGGATGATGTACTTCATTCAAGCAAGTGACATGGGAGCATGGAATGTCGTAGAAGAAGGATACTTCAAGCCTCTCACTCATCCAAGATTATGGAGTGAATGAGAGACAAAAATATTCCAGCTCAACTCCAAAGCCATCCATATCATATTTTGTGCTCTTGGACCAGATGAATACGGAAGAGTTTCATCTTGTACAACCGCCAAAGAAATATAGGACAAACTTCAAGTCACTCATGAAGGTACCGATGAGGTAAAGAAATCTAAAATTAGTATTCTAACGCATAGCTATGAAAATTTCAGGATGAAACCAAATGAAGATATCAAAGCTATGACGGATAGATTCTCAACGATTGTCAATGGTCTCAAATCATATGGAGAGATCATTTCAAATGAAAAGCTTGTGAGGAAGTTAGTCTATTCCCTCCCAAAATCGTGGCAATCAAAGAAGACGACAATCATCGAGTCTAAGGATCTAACGTCCTTAACTCTTGAAGAGCTGATTGGTTCACTCCTCACTCATGAAATGATGCTTGAAGATGAGGTGGACCTTGATAAGATTGAATAGACACCAAAGGAGAAGGAGAAGAAGAAAAACATTGGAGTTACTCTCAAATCCACAAAAAATGAGAGTGATTCGGATGAAGATGACGATGACGAGGAAATGGCATTGTTTGCCAAACGGTTCAGAAAAATGATGAGACCTTACCGAGGAAGAAAATTCAAACAAAATGAAGGCCTCAAAAATGAACCAAAACTCGATTATTTGCTATGAATGCAAAAAGCCAGGGCATGTCAAATATGATTTCCCACAATTGAAGAGAAAGGGTCAATCAAAGAATAAGCACAAGGCTCATGTGGCTACATGGAGCGATGAAGAAGGTTCCGATGAAGAGGAACAAGAAGTAGCAAACTTGTGCTTGATGGCATTCGGGGAAGATTCTAAGGTAACCTCTAACTCATCTGATTTTGATGATTTATCCTATGATGAGTTATTAGAGGAATATAATGGGTTGGCTTTGGATTATGAGAAATTATTTTTAAAATATAAAAATGATGTTTCAAAATTAAAAAAATTAAAATAAACTCATATCTAAAACCAACAACGATCTTGAAAGTAAAATCAAAGATTTGCAAATCAAACTAGAAGAGTTTGAAAAGAAAAATTTGGATTTGCAAAATTTACTTTCAAAGGTCAATGATGATCATCAAAAGAAAATTGATGATCTTAAAACTTCTTTTGATAAAGTTGGAACAAAACATTTTGAAAAAGGTGGAAATTCAAAATCCAACTTTGTTAGAAAAAGTTTTAGAAACTACAATCATAGAGGTCCCCAAAGAACCTCTAATGGAAAAATCGTTAGAAGTATGTGGGTTCCTAAAGAACTCATTACTACTAAAGATAAAAATATCCTACACAAATGGATACCTAAGGGGACTAGGATTTTGGAAACTAATGAATATGGACCCAAAAGAATTTGGGTACCAAAAATAAAAAATTAATCTATGTTTGTAGGGAAAGGAGCATTGCTACAAGGCACGGGAAACAAATTCAAATTCATGGTACCTTGATAGTGGATGCTCAAGACACATGACCGGAGACAAAAGCCGGTTCATTGAGCTTAACGCCAAAAATGGAGGAGAAGTGACTTTTGGAGACAATTCAA